GAGTACATTAATTTGGAAACCAACCATAAACAAAGCACCAATATGAAAGCATAACTAAATCTCTTGTTATCTCATAACTTTTTTTTTTTTTTGAACTAAACGATATTATCTATACTAAGCGGGTAGGAGAGTAAGCTAAGTCTTACAATGGACTAGCAATAATGTGGTACAAATTCGTCCTTCACAATAATCGAATATAAGACATCTCACTTATAAGTGAAAAGAAATGCTCCTAAACTATAGTACTAAGTGGCTCTCATAAGTTTTACACAATAGCCTGCAATATACTAGTATGGTCATATTCTATATATTTTGCCCAATAATTGTGTGACAATGCATATGGAATGTTCAAGTTCAGCAGTACAACCCTAAAAGTAAATTGTAGATGACAATCTAGGGCAAGGTGAGGGGTGGTGTTCACATGTTCTTGCCGAACAATCTCATTTTTAATCTCATTAAACCAAAGATAATTCCTAAATGTCATTAGAAGTTCAATTAGTACGTTTAATCAATGCATGTTACGTTGGTTTGTTGCTGATAAACTTTTCAGGCCCAAGCATGGTCTATCACCTATATCATCGATATTGTTTTAATTTAATCATCTATTACTAGGTGTTAGGTTTTATAACAAGACCTCAGTGATATTGTATATTATTTTGTCATATGACCAATGTGAAATTTTATTCTCCAACAAGCCCCCTCACGAGTAGCCACACAAGGGGTCACAAGGGAAACCAATTCTCGCATCAAGAACTGGTTAAGTCGTTGTACCAAAATAAACGTCAATCTTTTCACAAGCCTTGTCAGTCGGTATTTAGTCTCTGAAGCCAACGTCAGTCTTTTGGAAGGCCCAATCATTCAATTGCCTTAAGTTGGTGCTCACACATTTTTTTGAAAGCCCAACTTCAAGAAGCATGTTTGAGCCCATTAGCTCAAGCCCAGGATTGATATTCAGTCTTTGGCACCAACGTCAATCTTTTTGAAGGCCCAATCGTTCAGTTACCTTAAGTTGGAGCTAACACATTTGTTTGAAAGCACAACTTCAGGAAGTATGTTCAGACTTGTAACTCGGGCCCAGGAGATGTCGAGAAAATAGCCTACTCTTATACCATGATAAACTCTCTAGACCCAAGCATGGTCTACCACCAAAATCACCAATATTATCTCAGCTTAACCATCTATTAGTAGGTATTAAGTATTATCCCCAAAAGGCTTCGATGATATTAAAAGTAAAAACTCTTATATGCTAATTATATTTTACTTTGTCATATGATTGATGTGAAATCTTAGGGGTTGTATTCAATTGAGAATTTGAGAGACTTTAATAGATTTATAAATTCATTGATTTTTATGAAGTTTAATTGATTTGTAGCAATTCCAAATAAAATTTTGATTAAATTCCCTCGAATTCTCATGGGGATAGTTGAGACTTGTGAATGCTTAAAATAAACTACGAAATCTTTCCAATTCTCTCTAATTCCTCAACTTTCTGAAATTCTTTAAAATAAATTTCTAATTGAATATACCTGGAATGTTATAAACTTCCTTAAATACTAATTGAATACACCCTGATTTTTAAGGATTTAAATAAGCTATCTTAAAATTCTAATTAAAAACACCTTGAATTTTAGAAAATCACTTAAAATTCTAATTGAATACTCTTAAATTCATTAAAAGAATTAAAATTCATCAAAATCCCAATTGAATACATCTTCCCTTGTCTCCTTCAGTTACCCCATAAGCATCAATTAACCAAGTGACCAAAAAAATCAAGAAATAAAAGAAAGATTCTCAGAGCATAAGTAGTTTTTGTACACCGCCAGACGCCCACAGAAAGAGGGACATAAAATGTCGATTTCTGGTTTATAGAGTTGCCTGTTTAGAGATTGAAAATATAATATTAATCTAATAAACCCTTGAAAGGTGACATTTTAATCAGATACTCTCAAAACCAGAAGGGTTGCCCGACATCAGCCTACCATACCATATATGCAAAGAAATTGATTAATTTAAAGAACTGCTTGTCTAGGTGTATCCATTCCATATTCTTATTCTATTAAGAGAAGATGGCTTGTCAAATTTTTATCTTTTTATTTATATATTTTGCCTTCATTTTTAATATACAATGTTGACATAAAGAGGGTAAAACAGTAATTTTGTATCAAAATATTTACATAAGATAAAAATATGAACTTATTAAGAGAAATTGTCTCACCATTATTTTTTCATAGAAATCATAATGTTTTTTGGATAATTTGAATGAACTAAAACAGTTGTACTTGAGGAGAACGTGGAAGGAGATGAACAATTTTTCACACACACAAAATGTGTGCTCTTTGCTAGTTAGAAATATGACAATAGTAACGGTTTCTAGACTAATTTTTTTTTTATAAATTATACGACGTAATTTTTAATAATTAATTTATTACTTAATTATAAATAAATACGTTTATTTCTACCAGTTACATATCATATAATTTATAAATTTGATTTCAAAAGTTAGTTTATCGAAGATTTCTCTTAGAAATAAACAGAGTCCCAAATTTCCAATCTTTTATTGCCTCAAATTTTATTGATTAATATAATTTTCTTTTCAACATTCGTCTTTGAGGTGGCATCACCAACAGCTAGCAAAGATAATCTGGGCTTTGTCTTTTTGCCAAATTATAGATCTAATAAAGATTATCTTCCCTAAACCAATACCTAACCAGATTTGACTACGTTTAGGCTCGTGAGCTTTCCACTTCTATAATTACTAGCCTTTATGCACGCGTTTAAAAACGTGCATAAGATATTTTTTGAATCACGATGTGTTATGAAAGATTTACACATTTTAAATATATATAAGCGTAAATTGACAAAAAAAAAAAGTCAAATATTTGAAGAAAATGAATAATCTTAAATCATGCTAGAAGAAACTCCTCATAAATCAATTAAAACAGCTGAATTCACTTAATAATATCGGTCAGTATAGAATTTAAATTAAGAATAGGACATAATATTTAATAAACCACTGATTAAATCACATTATTACTAACCCCGTCCCCCTTAGTGTAGATAATATCATTTGTTAAAAAAAAAAATCATTTGAAAACTAATTTAATCACACTATTATCCGCGTGAGAAAAACTTTTTTTGTAACCGACATTACACGTCTCTTAAAATGTTTTGAATATGTCTAAAATATAGAAAATAATATTTAATAAACAACATATTGAATCACATTATTGCTAACCGATTATGAGGCTAAACCCACTCTCTCCCCCTTAGTGTAGATAATATCATTTGTTAAAAAAAAAAAAAATCATCTGACAACTAATTTAATCACATTATCATCCGCGTATAAATTAAAATGACAAAAACACCCCTACATTATTTTGGAATGTCTTTTAAGTTTTTTTGTTTTGAGGCCATTTTTGTCCAATACTTTTGTTGAAGCTTGGCAACACCAAAGCACTATACACCTTTTCCTCTCTCTTTATATATAAACAGATCTGTTATTCATGAATCATCCATACTAAACCCTAATTACAATATATATGTATAACAAAAAACATATGCACGTGTGACGTGTGTGTGTGTGGTGATAAGAGGGCAAGAGGGGGAAATCTCTAAAATATTTTTGTCATGAGAGAGAGAGAGAGAGTATTTTTATCATGTGAGTGAGAGATTAAGAGCTTATTCTCTTCAGTGATTCAAGTCCAGTTATAAGCCGAAAATGGAATTGCAATCACATATTATATGTTATGGTTATTATTATATGAACATACATAGTTACCCATTAGAGACGCAAACATGTGTATTGTGGGTTAATTTGATTGATAATGGGAGACATCCACTTAAAATTTTACATTTAAGTTATTAGGGAATTGTTATTACCATTTAAAAATCTTATTTTACACTTCAAACTTTATATATTAAAAAAGAAAAATACACTTGTGAGGAATGTAGAATGAGATTTTTGAAGTGTCAATAACACTTCCCTTTAGATAATACTAGCATATAGGCACACACAAAGTGAGAAAATTTTTTAATTTTGTTTTTGAAATAAAAGAAGAGAGAAAGAGAGTGACAAAAAATGTGGAGAGTCTGAAGTTTTTTTTTTTTTTTTTTTAATTAAAGATATGTTAGGATTACATATGGATGAGATTTTGAAGGAAAAAACAACAAAATTTACTTGTGTAAAATTACATTTCTACCAAATATTTTTATTAATGTTCTGCTTTAATTAGAAAGTTAAACTGGTAATTTCATAAAATTTTAGTTGACAATAAATGTTTTATTAATTAATAGAGATATTATAAGAGAAGAGACATGAATGATTAATCAAAATTTGAGTAATACAATTATACAATCATAAATTAAATCTATTAAAATCATTATTGATAAGTATCTAGAACTTATTGAAAAACTAATCATTTTAGAAATTAAATTTGAATAATCATTTCGAAAACTGTTTATTAAAAAAACAGCTTCATTTCTCAAGGATAAGTAATAATTCCAACTCAAAATAATCTGTATTCGAATTACAGAATTTTGTGTTATGTAAATATAACTATTTTCATTATCACTGTAAAAATCTATGCAAAAAGTAATTTTAAACTAAGTTCATATAGTCAATTTATTGTAGTGAATACATAAGCAATTCGTAATTCTTTCATCAATTAAGTTCATCAATTTTTACATATTTTGATTGCTTATCGACATTAGTTTTAATTTTTTAAATAGCTGTATCACTACCAAGACAATAATCCCTACATTCTCATTCTCAAGATTCAATACTATTCCTTTCACACCGCCGGCAAATTCAACCATTTCCCCGGCTTGAATCTGGTTCAATCCATGATTTTTGTAGAGGCAATCTTTGTGGCGTGGTTTATAACCACGAAGTTTGATCAATCAGAGCAACAAACAATTATGAATAGAAACTCTTACACGTCATTTGAATAGTCAAATATTTATTCTAACCAGAAACAAATAACTAATGTAAAAGGTAGGAATAACAATGGAAATCTATTAATTCATTGATGATCTTATATTGTGCTTCAAATACAATCATGCAACACAAAAAGGGCCAAAGCCCCAAAACCCAAAAGTATGCATTTCCGTTTCTTTTTTCAGACAGAAAAGAAACACTTTCAACATTTCAATAACATATCACAAACGAGTTCATTAGACCATTTCCTTTTTTGTGCACAAAAAGGGAACAATCTAACTAGGTAGAATATTTTATACATCGATATAGATATATAGAATAATATAAGAAAAGAGAGGAATATTATACCCCAAATGACTGCTTCTGCATTTTTGATTAATTTTACTTTAATTTCTTCCCTCCGGACTAACTTGTTGTAGTTGTAGAAGCAGAACTTGTGATCATGGCCGTACTCATGCTGGACTTTGGGTTGTTATTGTTGGGCCTCTTCCTCTTCTTCTCATAACTAACCCCTCTTGCCTTTGCCTGGAAATCACGAACTTCACGCAAGTAGAGTCTCACAGCTCTGGCTCCAAAGGGATTGCCTTCAGGCCTCCCGCCGTGCTCATCATAGGCAGCTCGAAGGCGGCCAATGAGGGCGTCCAGGCTGCCCCACGCCTGCCTCAGCGGACAGGGGCAGGGAGCAGGTGGGTTTGGGAGGCCGAAGAACGGGCAGTTCTGGTTGTGGATCTTGGTTTTGCCGAACTGGTCGAGATACCGGAGGAACTCCAGTACGTGGGCTCCGCTGCACATCGGGAGCGACAGCGGCGGCCTGTGGTTCCGGAGGTACTGGCAGAAGGTGTTCCAGTCCCGCCGCTTTTGGTTTTCGTAGCGGCTGGGAGTGGTGGGGGTTGTGGATATTGCTGAGGATGGAGGAGAGATCATGGCCATGTTATTGTTGATTATAGGGGTTTCAAAGGTTATGCTGGGGTTGTTGGAAATAGGGTTTGAAATTAAATCCATGGGAAAACGAAAGGTGAGATTTTGGTTATTTGGAGGGTGAAATTTGTAGGGTTTCTCTCTAGGATCTTGATCTCTCTTACTCTAGGGTATCTCTCTCTCTCTCTCTCTCTCTCTCTCTCTCTCTCTCTCGTCTAGCTAGCTACTTGTGCATAGGTGATGAGTGAGACTAATGGACCAATGGTAGTGCTTCAAGAGAGAGAGAGGTTTTGCTTGTTTGGATGAGTTGAGAGAGAGTGACTTCAGCTGTGGTATCAAAATAAGTGCAAATGATGAAGTTATTAACTTACCCAAAAGAAGATAAATGCTAGATTTTGCATGGCTTCCATAAATATAATTTGTCAGATGGAGAGAGATAGGGAATCAATTGGAAAAAAGTGGGGGGTTCTGGAACTTAATTAAACTTGGATTTGGGATCTTAAGGAAAATAGAGAAGAATCTACTTCATCATGATTACTATCTGTTTTGGGGAAAACTTAGTTTGAAAAACAGTCAAGTGCTGCCGCAAGAAGATGGATGATTTCTTACAAGGAACAGCTTCAAACTGAGATTACTCAACTACTAATAGAGTTAGAGAGAGAGAGAGAGAGATTGAGACAGATTTGTAGTAGTAGTCAAGATTTAAAGATCTCAAGACTTGAAGAGTGATGAATGATGAAAGGAAGGGAAGAGAGAGGGGTTGCAGAGTCTGCGTTGTTGAGGACTGAGAGTTGAAATAAAGTTAGCAGGAAGAAGTAAAGTTAACAGGAAATGTGTTTTGCCTTACTAGGACAAGTTAGGCAGTGGGCAGACCTTGATGGTGACCATTGGCTCACTGACATTTATATATGAACACCAACACTCCCTCTCTTATGCGCGTGCATGCAATCACACAACCGTCCCACTACATTTTTTTCTTTATTTTTTTATTTAAGAGATTAACTTCTTTTGATAAAAAAATTTTGAAAATGAGAAGTGAATTATCACATTAATGTTTTATTTCATAGAGAGAATTAACTTGACTATTCAATATATTAAAAGCATTTAAAAAAATTGGACGACCAATTTCTTATTTAAGGTTACTTATATAAAAAAGATATTTCTATTAACCTTCATAAAAATAGTAGAATTGAAAAGGACAATTACTATTTATGAGTAACCTCTTTAACTTGACAAAACAAAAAAATTGTCATTAATTTCTTCCTTTAAAATACTTTTGATACAATGAATAGTCATATCTAAATCAATCATCTTTATCAAATGTGATCCAAAGATACATATTGTGTGTCATTAACTCACTAGTACTAAGATATAATGATATTTTCTTCATTTATAAGTAAAATTTTATATTTGACTTTCATCAATAACGAGCTTGATAAAAATGATGGTTAACGTATAACGTATTAGATAGTTTAACTTAAACCCATCTCCCTTAATATCATAGACAAAAAAACTGATGGTTGAGTGGATCAAAAAGTAGTTCAATTGGTGTAAGTTTAGGAACAACTTAATTCATTCTTTGTATTCCTGAACCCTTAAATTCAATTTTTTCAATTTTGGTCCATAATGCGTTGTTTATAAGAGAACTACAAGAAGAGTCAAAATCATTTTTTTTTGTGTACATGTGAGATTTTATTTATTTATTTTTTATGTTCATATTCTGTTTCTTGACGATTATAGGGTTTTTTTATATTTTATTATTCCGACGAGACATCATTTCAACCACTCTAAAGTTTCATGTTGCTATAAAAGCAAAACAATAAAATAAGTTTCTTTTGTTTCGTGGATTTTAAGTTGGTTTTTTTATTTATTAAATTGTCAAATATTTTAAACAGTTTGATCTAAACTAATATAAACTTTTGGTTAATATGCATTTGGTCCATACAATTTCTCAAAATAAGGATCTTAGAAGAGGAAGACTGTAGAATAATTACCGATATATAATAATTAAACTTTGAGGTTGTTGCACTCCAAACTCTTATATTATAGGGATATCTTTTATATCCTAAGGTTTTCGGTTGATATCCTTTTGTTTTTGTTGCGTTGCATCAAAATACCTATACCTTATCGATCTATGATGTAACTTCTTGACACATGATAAACATATAATAAAACCGTAATTAAAATTGTGAACGGAGTTACATTCCCTTGAAACAAGTTTAAGAGTTTGGTTAATATCAACTTGTTAACGAGCTGAGTATGAAGCAACCTTAATTGTCGAGTATGGTGAAGCCAAAAATTATTAAACACAAATTGACATATGTGTCAATTATGTACTGCACAAGGGTACCAACTAGCTTTTAACTTAGTAATTATTGTTTTTCTTCGGATAAAGTAGTTTTAAATTTGAGTTGCTACGTGATAATGATATATATTTGTAATTAGTTTGATACTTAAGTCCAGTTAGCGTAATTTTTTTTGTCAACATTAATAATTGTTGTACAATATTTTCGTAAATATCCATGACATAAAAAGTCTATCCACCGCATGGGGGGTCATTATCGAAGGTTGCTTTTCTTTTTGTGCGAAGTAATTGAGAACGAACAGATGCATTTGATGGCAAGTTATATAGCAACAGATTGATTAATGCTGGACCATATACATGCAGGAAATTTCAAAGCAATTACCTTTCCCCCATCTCAATGATCTCATCCAAAGTCTCAATGATCCCATCCAAAAGATGTACCATGATTGTAGTCAAGAAAAATTATATTTCGTCAAGAGAAAATTTTCAATGTGCTAAAAATACTGTTTGATATACTAGTATTATAATAAAAATAGTTAAATATTTAAAAAAAAATTAACTACTTGTATTATGATAGTTAATATACTAAACTGTGTTTCCAACACACAAAAAAAATCTTTCTGCATGAAAGAAGAATTACTTGTGGTTTCCAATTAATTGTTGGGGAATTACTTTGAAGGAATTTATTTGTCGAGTTTAAGGGACAATAGACTTGTGGTAAGTTTAGGGTGCTTTTGCTGACAGCGAGCCTGATTGTCAACGGTAATTACGCACTAATCAATCAAAGATTAGTAAAAGTAAGAAAAAGAAAACTAACTAGCTAGCTAAGAAATTAAGGAAGCTTTTTTATGGGTACCAACAACATAAGTTACATAGTATATCATTTCACGTATTATAAAAAAAGTAGATGACATCATGACATTGTTAATAAATCTCGTTTCTAGAGCATAGTAATAACTAACAAATCCGTATCCTTTAATTTTAGTGAAATACCATGTTTAAATTACACTAAAAATTGTTCGAAATGGAGAATAAAAATTTCATACTAAAAAAATGGATAATCTTCTACATCCTCCTACTTTTGGTAAGGAACAGACTTCCCGCATTTGGAATCTCAAACCATCATTTAAGTTTGCACTACCACAATTTTGTTATAATATTGGGCCACCCAATAAACTTCCAAGTACTGGTCCTAGTATGTTAGAACCAATAACTGCATAGGTTTGCTAGCTTAATTATTCATCTTATAGCAAGCATTGTGCTAAAAAAATGGAACACATTTGCAGATAACGCACAAACAAATTAACACTCTTTAATTTCCGTGGCCCAATCACGGTCTCTTATTAGGGAACAAAATGAGTTGGTAAAAATAATACTAAATAAAATTATTTCAAGCTAAGATAATTAAGTGCTCGTTTGAAATTGTTTTTAAAAACACTGAAAGTGCTTTTGTAAAAATATTATTAGAACCAATCCTTCGTAATAGTGCAAGTGAATTTTGCAAAAGCACTTAAAGTGTTTCTTAGAAGAAGCACATAACTAGTGCTTCTTGTAGAAAACATTTCACATGTTTTTAGAACCTAAAAACATTTTTTTTTATAAAGACATTTTAATTCATTTTAAAAGTACTTCAACAAGCCCTAAAATAGGTGTGCTCTTTCCCATCTCAAGTTTGAATCATCCTCTTCGTAATTTAATTTATCTTACATTAGATTAGTGCTAAAATTGAGGAAAAATCTTAATTAATCTTAGAAAAGGGCAAATTAAGAGGCAAGAGTTGTCAATACATTTTGTGGCCCTGGAAAGATGGAGAGCGAGTGCTGCTCAAAAGTCCCAAGATTGTAAACAAACAATCAAGAAAGCAACAAATTAACGAGGAACCTTCATAGCAAATTCCCCATAAACTCTCATCCAAAAAACTATCTCGTGTTCATGTCCTTTTAGAATTGACTCTCTAGCTATCGCATGCATGCAAATTACCAGAAACTAACGAATACTTCTGCTTTTAGCAGACAATCAAAATGTTTTTGTTAATCCTTTTTTTTGGCTTATAACGTGTGTTGAGATTAGTTTGCTTTATATGATTGATAGAAAATTATTTCTATGATGTCCAAAACAACAGCATCCCTAGCTGGTTCCCTAGTTCATTAATTTATTTTTGTTTTTTTTTTTATGTGCCCAAATTCCCAACTCGGTTATTAATTAAAGAAAGTGATTTTCACATACCATTTTTAACTTTATAATCCTTATTTAATCATGATCACTAATTTTGTTTGACTTATTAAATCTAATAACCATAAATAAAGAAGAAATGTGTAAAGAGCTAAAATGATGTGTGAAAATCACTTCACCTAATTTGATTACAAATTTACAATAACAGTTGTCTAGCAATTGCATACCATTTATTATTATAGGGAAAATTTGAAATATGTCTAATTTTTAGTGATTTTCAACTTTTGAAATAGGTCTAATTTTTAATTACTTTGAATCCATGCTAAAAAACTCTTTTATTATACATTTTGTTTAGGATACATCTATCGAACTCTGAACACACCTGCAGATCTACTCCCATCGTCACCATACCGATTCTCGCCACTACGCTAGACCTAGTAGAGACCCTAACAACACAGTGGGCAAATTGGCTCAATTTAAAACACAGTAACTTAAATAGATTTTGACCTGTAACATGGTGAATCCCTCCACCAAGATGGTCACGGGCGGAGCCACTTAGGCTCAGAGGGCGCAGATGCCCCAGCTCATTTTTTTTTGTGTGTGAAAAAAAAAATGTACTCTTTCAGTTGTTTGTAATATTAATATTAATTCTTTCATATGCTATTTTTATTATTAAAAGAGCATTTTCGGTCATGAAATTTATGAAGATCGATTGTGAAATTGTATCAGAGATTAATAGATAAATGATAACATGATTATTTTTGTAGAGAGAGATATTTGATGATATTGGTAATAAGGTTGTTATGCAATGCTTTCAAAACATAAAAACGCATCGATGAATATTGTGATAAGTTATATGAAAAACCTTATAGACTAGTATACAAGTGTTTTGTTTAGTATATTTTTGTGCTTTTTAATTTGTGACTTTGTTGTTTAAAGATGCCCACATTCATACATATCTCTGACTTCATCCTTGAAGATGGTTAAACATTTATTTTTTTTATGAAAAAGATAGAAATGCATTAATATAGAAACAGAACCATTACAAAGGTAGACAGGGTGACCAGGGCCTAAATCAACTGATACAAAATTACAAATTACAAGCTGGTGGTAGCACGAATGACCAACACAGATCAGTTAGACGAGCAAGATGGTGGCCTACGCCGTTGTCTTGGTGGCTACCAATCTCTAATCCAAGTTTCTTATGCGTGGCTCCCATCATATCACTTTCCAAGTGTGTCGTGACGTTCGTCGTTCAAAATATCAATCACGAAAATTAACCCCTTCGAAAAATTGTCCAACTTTTGC